TGCTCTCTTTGTCTTAATTGCTCCTCCTTAACGACGATTTCCGTGTTTAACCGCCGCTCTTGCATTACCGAGGCTTCCAGCTCCGCACCCACGCGTCTAAGTTCGGAGTTCCTATCTCCGATGTCCATGACTGCGCGGTCAAAGTTATTTCTAGCAGCATCCCTTTCGCGCAGCAGTAATCCCAGGCGGCGCTTAGTGTCCTCGTCTTCCGCTTCGTTAGTTTCTTGTAATTCCTGTATTGCTCTTACGTATGCCTCATCCTTATTATCCATATCTCGTTTTAGATCTTCGATATATTCCGCCTACTGCTGCAATTCGGCTGTTTTTTCTTCTAATTGCTCCGTAAGTTCGTCAAGTCGTTCTCTATGTTCGTTTATGAGTTCTTGCTGCGTATTTTCTTCCACGTTGAGGGATTCTAAAGACTGCTGCAGTGCAGCTCTGCTGCCCGACGGCGTACTCGTTAGCTTTTCCTCTATGTCTTCCTTGGTAGCTCGTATTTTTGCGAGCTTTCCTCGATCCCTATCCAGGATTCCGGAGATGGCATGCATTTGACCGGTAGCCTTGGGGGTTGTAATGCCTTTAAGGAATTTCTCCTGTAGCCTCATAGTTTCCTTACTAGTTAAACTGGACAGCACGGATAAGTCGGGGCTACCCAGTGCTGTCGTTATTTCCTTCGGTAAGGCATTGTTAAGTGCGTTGGACTTTTTGCTTTGATAAAAGTCGTACCACCTTTCCCTGCCCACGTAACGAATTTGAATTTGACCCTTAGGACCGCGTTGGAATTCTAAGAGAGTCGAACTGGCGTTGGGATACCTCTTACGCACGTCGGTAAGTAGCTTTTCGGGTACCGTTTCACCGATAGCTGCCATTAAAGTTGGAGGGATTCGGGGGTCGGCAAAGAACCTTCCTTTTCTGTCGCGGATGACGTAAACCTTGGCGCCGCTTCTAGCAAGTCTACCCATGATTAGTTCCCTGCCGTATTCATCTTCTTCGAACATTAGCTGCGCTTTTTCAGGCATCCACTCGGGTAATAGCTCCCGAAGCCTTTCGAAGTCGTCTGGCGGTTCTTCCATGGATTCATCCATTTCCGCTTGTACTCTTCGCAACCACTCGTCGCTAGGAGCTTCAGGAACTAATCCCAAGTCGTCCATTCGCATGTAAGGTGGGGGGGATTTACCAGGGTTTTCCCTTTTGAACCTGTCCGTAAGGCTACATAAGGCACCGCGGGCCCTTGGACCATACTTGCGACGTAGCTTTTCGAAGAAGCCCGGCTTATCCGCTTCCGGCAGCAGGGTTACGTACTCATCGTCGTTAATGTCGACTTGGCCTTCTTCGGTAAGGGGGTCAAAATCCGTTCCTTCTACTTCCATTATRTATGATAAGCTCAAAGTTAAATCCCAACGTATTACCTAAGCAGGTTGGCGG